TGTCTCCTTAATTATTTTACATGTTGTTTCTTCAGTTTATTTTGCTGTGTCTGCATATGATTTTAAGAGTTAAATTTCCAAACAAAAAAGTTTGCAAAATCATAATTGTTTGGCTCAGTTGATGTTGCCACAAGATGCACCCTCGCCCCCCAGTGACTTCACTCACACAAACTCTGAAAGGCCACCCTACTGACACCACCACCACCGATCCCAGTCACCATCCCCAGTGCCCACCTATGCATAGTGATAAGACCAGGCCCCAAGAAGACTTTCCACATCAAGCAGATGTTCACCTGCACATCTGCCAATGTGGTATACTGCATCCGCTGTACCCGTTGTGGCCTCCTCTACATTGGGGAAACCTACGCTCGGTTCGCAATAAACAACTGCACCTCCCAGTCGCGAACCATTTCAACTCCCCCTCCCATTCCTCAGACGACATGTCCATCCTGGGCCTCCTGCAGTGCCACAACAACGCCACCCGAAGGTTGCAGGAACAGCAACTCATATTCCGCTTGGGAACCCTGCAGCCCAATGGTATCAATGTGGATTTCACAAGCTTCAAAATCTCCCCTCCCCCTACCGCATCCCAAAACCAGTCCAGCTCGTCCCCACCTCCTTAACCTGTTCTTCCTCCCACCTATCCCCTCCTCCCACCTCAAGCTGCACCCCCATCTCCTACCTACTAACCTCATCCCGCCCCCTTGACCTGTCCGTCCTCCCTGGACTGACCTATCCTCTCCCTAACTCCCCACCTACACTCACGTTTACTGGCTCCATCCCCGCCTCTTCGACCTGTCTGTTTCCTCTCCACCTATCTTCTCCTCTATCCATCTTCTATCCGCCTCCCCCTCTCTCCCTATTTATTTCAGAACCCCCTTCCCCTCCCGCATTTCTGAAGAAGGGTCTAGGCCCAAAACGTCAGCCTTTCTGCTCCTATGACGCTGCTTGGCCTGCTGTGTTCATCCAGCTCTGCATCTTGTTGTCTCATAGTGATGACAGACTGGCCGAAAGAGTATGGAATATTCAACTCCAGAGATAACAAAGGCACGGAGGGCAGTTAGAAACTCAGTTTAATGTTTTGTCCAAAAGGTAGCACTGTCAATGTATAGTACTCCCTCAGTACTGCACTAGAATATCACAAGAGATGATGTGCTCAAGGCATTAAGTACAGCTTGAACTATAATTTGCTGACTCAGTGTGAAAATTATTATCAATGACCCAAAGTTAACACTATAGTCTGACTTTTTCCCTCCCTGGAGTGGAATGGGCAATGGTGAGAAAGTTGGAAAAATGCAATGCGAATGAAAACATTCGAATCTTGACACTGAGGAAGAAAGGTCCTGATTTTCTGCTTAATCTTAAAATGGCATTTTCAGCATTAAGCATTAAGCTTAATATTATTAAGCATTATTATTATTTCTTGTGTGAAAAAGTTCCCGCTCAAGTCCCTTTTAAATCTTTCTCCTCTCACCTTACAAGTATGCCCTACAGTTTTGAACTTCCCCACCCTAGGGAAAAGACTTTTGCTATTCACCTTATCTATGTCTATAATAAGTTTATAAACTTCTATAAAGTCACTCTTCAATCTCCAATGCTCCAGTAAAAAACATCCCAGCCTAACTTGTCTATCTTTATAACTCAAACGCTCCAGTCCTGGCAACAACCTGATAAATCTTTTCTGAACCCTCTCCAATTTAATAATATCGTTTCAATAACAGGGCAACCAGAACCGTACTTGGTGCTCCAAAAACGGACTTACTAACATCTTGTACAACCTCAACGTGATGTCTGAACTCTCATATTCAGTGGTTTGAGCAATGAAGGCAAGCATGCTAAATGCCTTATTAACCACCCTGTCTAATTGTGTCGCAACTTCCAAAGAACTATTTACCCAAACCCATCTCTGTTCAATAGCACTGCCTTGTGCCCTACCATTAATTACATAAATTCTGCTCTTGTTTGTTTACCAAAATGCAATACCTCACATTTACCCAAAAGTTCCTTTTCTTAAGAGACAGCAATACAGAGGGTGAAACATTTGGATAGATTTGGGTGTTGACTTAGAGCTGGACCTCTTGGTGGGAAAGAGAAAAAAGGCTTCAGGTTTGGGTTATTTTATGTAACTGAAAGACAGCTTTCAATGACATTCTGTAGAACTCAATGCCTGATCCCTTCTGCATTAATAAACATCAATGATGTAGATTTAAATGTAAAGGCCTGAATAAGAATTTTTCAGATAATACAAAAATTGTTTACGTCTTTGATGATGAAGAAGCAAACTGTAGGCTGGGAGATTTCTAGATGGGTGGAGATTTTGAAAGTATAATCCATCTGGAAAAAACGTGTGATAATGCAATTGGGGAGAGCAAATAACACAAGGTAATACACAATAAATGTAAGAAACTGAAAAATGTAGAGGAACAGGGGGACCTTGGAGCACATGCTGACAGTCCTCTGATGCTAGCAGGACAAGTACATAAGGTAGTCAAGAAGACATACAGTGTGTTTTTCCTTCTTAGAGAACGTAAGAGCAGAAAAGTTATAAATGAAACATCTCAAAGTTTAGCAATAGCCAAAATACTGCATACAGTTCTAGTCACTATACTACACAATGGATATGATTGCACTTAAGAGGGTATGATAGGAGATTTTGGAGGATATTGCCAGGAATGAAAATTTTAAGTAAGCATGAAAATAATAAGCTGAAGTTGTTTTCTTTGGAACAAATGAGTCTGAAGGGAATTGAGGTGCACAATGCTGTAAATGTCAAGATAGAATAGAGTTGAAGACCTATTTCCCTTACCAGAGAAGTCAATAATCAGAGGGCTTAGGCTTAAAGCAACTTGATTAGAAAGGAGTTGAGGGGAAATACTTTTACCAAAGGGATATCAGACCTCACAACCTGAAAGGATGGTAGCGATAGAAAAGCTGGTCAATTTTTGTTTTAAATTGCATATGTGCCTTGAAGTGCTATCACCTTTCAGGCAACAGATCATTACTTGGAGAGTAAGATTTCCTGGATAGGTTTTTTTGGCTACAACACAATGGACTGAATGGTCATCCCTCTGCGTTATAAATTTTCTTTTCTTTTATGTGAGACAATAAGCAGGATCAAAAAGAATCAGAGACAGAATGTAACCAGGAAGCAATCAATTTTCCATGATAAGCTACAATTTATAAAATCCTTTACAAAACTTAATATATAAAAACAATTTTAAAAAATTCCTCTTAGCTGAATTTTGTCCACAAATATTTTCATCCCTAGATTAAGCTTTATTGTGTAGCAGCATCAATGAAAGTGGAAAACAAGCTACTGGGAAACATTAAAGGTAGAGTAACTGTTGTCCTATCTCTATTCAGAGCTCACATTTCACCTCTTAAATACATGAATCTTCCTAAAAGACATATATGTTAAGAACAAGAGATTGCTATCATTTAATCCAGTTTGATAATCACTGGAAAATGATCTTAGCATCAGCAAATATTATTTTGAATACACGAACCAAACTTATAGAATCACACAGCATAGAAACAGACCCTTTGATCCAAATCATCCACGCTGACCATACATCTCAATCTGACCTAGTCCCATTTGCCAGAATTTGGCCTATATCTCTCTAAACCCTTTGTCTTCAAATACCCATCCAGATGCCTTTTAACTGTTGTAATTATACCAGCCTCCACCACTTCCTCTGGCAGGTCATTCCATACACCACCATCTGCATGAAAATGTTATCCTTCATGTCCTTTTTAAATCTTTCCCTCTCACATTAAACCCATGCCTTCTAGTTTTAGACTCACCCGCTCTAGGAAAAAGACCTTGCCTATTCACCCTATCCATGCCCGTCATGATTTTATAAACTTCAATAAGGTCACACCTCAGCCTCCAATGTTCTGGGAAAAAGCTCCAACTTATTCAGTCACTCCCTATATAAACCCATTCTAACTATAAGATATAAAGTTGCTTGATAATAAATTCAATGTCAGAAATAAGCATGCCTTTGATTTGCTTACAATACACATTTTTTTCACTTTGGGCCAGATTGTGGGTCAGAAATGGTTTAGTGCTGTTTGCTATCAAGACAATCGAGATGTTTGTAACCAACCTGTTCAGACATGTTGTTAAACACCTGTAGAGCAGATGGGGTTTGAACCTGGGCCTTGTTGGGTCAGAGGTAGGAATACTACCACAGAACCAGAGTTAAACACATGATTGAGAGGTAGTGAGCTTTGGATATAATGTGGGTGAAAGAAAATTCATTGCTAGATGTTTTTAAGATAAATTGGGTATTTGAATTTTAAATTATTGTTTGAATGTTATTATGCATTTTTTGTTATACCTTATGTTTTTAGGCATATGCCATGGAGTGAGTGGCGAACTTCTCAATGGCAACTAGTGATGGGCAATAAATATTAGCCTAGCCAATGACTCTGAATCTCAAGAATGAATGTTAAAATCTGTAATGTCATTTGATAGGGGAACTGATTTTAGTGCCTACTCTCTTGTTGTTCAATATGACTATCTCACCCCCTTCAAAAAAAACTTCCAAAACACCTCCTCAATAAATCACTAGATGACAGATGTTGACAAGCAACCGCCAAGAACCTGTTTTTACACACGTATATTAACAGACCATTACAGTGAACCACTTGCATGTTTGTTATATTTCACGTGTCAGGTTTCAGTCTTTAAAAAAACATTCATTTCACGCTGTTTACTTCAGACCTGCAGCTGGGTACGTGCTTGTTTCTGCCAATCTGCAAATGTACTCACTAATATTGATTGATCCGGTCAATGATCTGAACTGGGTAGGAATTGGATTCGACTAGAGCAAAATCGAGGGGTAGATCCGCTGCTCTCGGCCCGTGTGGGTTATTTTTCGAAGGAGGAAGACGAAGGATGTCTTGAAATGCACATTAAATATCTATTAAAATAAAGACGCGAATGTTTAATTCGATCTGAGGAGTTGCATTTCGGATGTGGGTTTCGGTTTCTGTGTTAACAAGCAACAGTTAGTAAATCAACAGGTTCCCCAGCCTGAGAGAGAGAGAGAGAGAGGCGGAGCCGACAATATCTGAGCAGAAGGGCGTGTTTCGAGTGTAGGCGGACGTTTGTTTTTTTTCCGGTAATGAGAGGTTGGAGGGAGCTTGGAAAGTGTTTCAAACGCGACTCCAACCAGAAATTAGGGATGTTCCCAGCGCAGGGGGGATCGGAGCATTAAAGGCAAGACTGGGACGGCTGAGAACGCCTTTTGTATGTGCTGAGGAGTGGCGGTGTGGGAGGGCAAGGGCTGCTTTTTTTGTTGTTTTATTTTATTTGTTGATCGGAGAAGTTTGAAGTGGAAGCTAGGTGTGCCCGACAGAAACCTGCTGGGGCTGTTGGAGTGGAGTTAGCCGGCTAGCAAACATGACAGCCAATGCCGCGGAAGGCAAGAGGTTCACACCGAGAGGGAGCATCTCGTTCTCCGAGCGGCGAGCTTCTGTGTCCTCGGAGGTTCTGTACAATGAGTTGAGGGAAAGCTCAGTCAAACCCCTGGTGCCAGGTTTGATGGACCTGCTGACGCAATTCGCCAAGGCTTTTGGCTATCTCTTCCCCGTCTACCTGACTGGCTATTTCGGATTGAGCCTCACCTGGATCGCCTTCGGGCTCATCGTGTGGATCGGGTGGAAGAGGAACAGAGGCTGGAAATTTGCACGTTGGCAAACAGCATTGCAGTTGTTGGAAGATGAAAAGTTTGCGATTACCAATGAGATTAAGCAAGATCTTCCAGCCTGGGTGGGTATAATCGTCGATTAAGCTAATTAAAATCAAATCAGATATTTAAGACAATGCGTTCATGTGTATACAGGCGTATCCTATAAGGAACATGTTTTATTCATCTGCACAATTTATAATCATTGTCATTTCAGACTTATTGTTACTTGGCAACCAAATGGCAGCTCACGATTCCTCGCTGGATCTTGCTGTTTCCCGGTGGTAGTTTAGAAACTTCTGATAGCTGTTTATTAGTCCAGCACAAACTCTCCCTCTCCGGCGTCTGAATTCCTTGCTCCCTTCGGCCTGTTCAACTGTACAGCCTGAGCTGGAAGTTTGAATAATTCTGCAGCATATGCTGTCAAACTGTTGGGTAACAGGACCTGGGCCGACTGTTGTCCAAGTTCGACAGGTTTCTCCATCTTTTGAGCAATTTGTCACCATTTGACATTTTTATAATATGTTCTTTTTTGAAAGAAAAACTTCCTTACTGGTCTAATCTAAAGAGAGATCTACCGAAAACAGACATTACGTAAAACCAATATAGCCGTTATGACTTGCAAAGAAATGCCGTACTCTGTTTCTCACTCCACAGGTGCGGCCAGACTTGCTGAGTTTCTCCAGCACTGTGGCTGAAATAAAATTGTAGGTACATGGGTGTTCCTCCACATTCTGCAATATTAGAAATCGAAGTTCCATCTCAATAAGAGATGTTAAGAACTGCCGATGCTGGAGTCAGAGATAAGTGTGGAGCTGAAGGAACGCAGCAGGAAAGTTAACGTTTCGGGTCAGGACCCTTCTTCATAAATTTCTGCTGCCTGGCCTGCTGTTCGTCCAGTTCCGCACTGTTATACCTCGCAATAAGAATGCCTGCTGAAGTCAGCTGGTTCGTTTGTCAAATATCTGAAAACCTTACAACAAAATCGTGTCATCTTCGCCTATATGTTGGTGTGAAATGACAGACTGTGATAAATAACGAAAGAAAAGGCTACAAAGTATGTAGCAAATCTGCCAGTCTGGAAAAGAGAACCTGCTTATTTCAAATGGACCGGGAAGTTATGTTGAGTCAGAGATAGTAGGAACTGCAGATGCTGGAGAATCCGAGACAACAAGGTGCA